AAAAAAAAAAAAGATAGAAGGATACTCATAGATAACAAGAGTCTTACAACGGGGAATACACTGATCCCAAAAATACATACAAATGGCTAAGGATGCTACTACCAACATCCTTAAGAATACAAGACCAACACAAACTAAATAATAGTCAGTCCTACTCAGAAACACAAACCAAATCCTCCAGAAACCCAGAAACCAAAAACTCCACATCCAGCTGAAAACAACAATGACCTGTCAGAACTTCCAGCTAGCATAAAACATAATAAGGATTCAAAACCTGAAACCAAGGAGCAGCTACTGAATGAAAAGTTAGCAGATAGATGAACCACTGAACCAACGGACCTAGCACACCAAATCTACTACCTTTTGCTATTTTCCCCTGGCAGCTTTAAACTCCATCCAATCCCTCCAAGTTGATTTCACCACCACATCTTCTGGCATCATAAGTTTTTGAAACTTCCATAAGTTCCGTGCTTTCCACAACCACCAAAGCATATAGGTGGTCAGTTGAATTCTGTCTTCTGAGATTTGAAGCTTGTTTACTGAACAAATCTGACTCCACCAACTGGAAAAGCTAATACTAGCCTCCTCCATTCCCTCCCATTTCAGATGAGATAACTTCCAAATCTTCTTAGCTCTAGAGCAATGGAAAAAGATGTGCTCAGTTGATTCTTCTGCCTCTCCACAACTCTGACAAATAGGATCTACCTGTAATCCTCTCTTTCTCAGGTTCAAACTAGTAGGCATAGCATTATTAACACACTTCCAGATAAAATGTTTAAGCTTCCCTTTAACTGCCAAATTCCAGCTCCTCCTTCTAGTCTGTTTACTCCTCCCATTTGTACTACTACCTTCTGCAACATCCAATTCCCTGAATTTTTTTCTAATAGTGGCTTCATAAGTTTTGCTCACAGAGAACAACCCTTTGGAATCCAAGGTCCAAACCCATCTGTCTTTTAAACAAGGATTCAAGCTGTTAATTTTTAGTATAGCTTCCATATCCTCCACCTCAAACAACTCATTTAACAAAGAGATATTCCATCTGTGACCATTCTCCCCAAGCAACTGGTTCACTGTCTGAAGATGACAGGTGACACCAGCTTTCAGATTAGGTCTCCCAGAACCCTGCTTCATAATCCAAGGATCTGACCAAATATTGGTTGTCAACCCATCTCTAATCTGCAGTCTAAAGAAATGGAAGTATTTGTCCCTAACAGTTAACCAACTAAGCCACAGCCATGAAGCAGATGAATTCCTCTTAGCATTTAAGATAGATTCTTGAGGGAAGTACCTACCTTTTAACACTTTAGAAACCAGAAGATTAGGATGAGTTAGAATCCTCCAGATTTGCTTAAGAATCAATGCATCATTAAATAGTAACAGATCCTTGAATCCCAATCCACCCTGCTCTTTAGGTAATGCCAACATTTTCCAAGCTCTCCAATGAACCCCGGCTGCTTGATCCCTCCCTTTACTCCACCAAAAATTAGCAGTTAGACTACAGATATCCTTGCAGACTCCAACAGGTAAACAGAAGCATGACATAGAGAATACAAGGAGAGAGTCAACAACTGCTTTAATCAAAACTTCTTTCCCAGCAGTGGAGAGAAAATTAGCTTTCCAATTTATTAGCTTCTTCTTGACAGCCTCAGTGACAAATTTAAATACTTCCTTCTTTGACTTCCCAATGCCCAAAGGAAGCCCTAAATACCTGGTAGATTTGTGGACTTGAATGCCTTGAAATATTGAACAAATTATGTCCTGCATCTCTCTGTTAGTACTTTTGCTGAAAAAAATAGCCGATTTACCAAGGTTGACCTTTTGGCCTGAAAACCTTTGATATTTTTCCAGAATATTCATAAGAATTTGGGCATGGATTTCATCAGCAGTACTAAAAAACAAAGTATCATCCGCAAACATGAGATGGGAAACAACCACCCCAGATTTCCCCATTCTAATCCCAGAAAACAAACCTCTAGCAGCCACATTTGCAAGCATTTTAGACAGGACCTCTGACACAAGGATAAAGATATACGGAGACAGAGGATCTCCCTGTCTCAATCCTCTAGATGCTTCAACAAATCCTCTCATCTCTCCATTCAGATTAAAAGAAAAAACAGGAGAAGATATGCAAGCCATCACCCACTTAATAAAGGAAGGATGAAACCCCATTTTACCCAAAATTTTAAGAACACAACCCCATTCTATCCTATCATAAGCTTTTTCCATGTCAACTTTAACAGCCATAAACCCTTTTTTCCCCACCCTATGCCTATTCAAATAGTGGACAGCTTCCTGGGTAATTATGACATTGTCAAGGAGCTGTCTACCGGGAATGAAAGCACTTTGATTAGGACTAATGCAGCTATTCAGACAACCCTTCAACCTAGAGGGCAAGATTTTGGAAATGATTTTATAAGGCACTCCACAAAGGCTAATAGGTCTATAATCTCCAATAGAAACAGGATTAGGACATTTAGGGATTAAAGATATAAGAGTATGATTCCAATTTCTAAGTAATTGCCCAGAAGAAAAAAAAAACTAAGAATGGCTTCACACAGATCAATTTGAATCACATCCCAAAAATATTGAAAGAATAAGGGAGACATACCATCTTGCCCCGGAGCCTTTCCTGGGTCAAGGTTGAACAGAGCCTCTTTGATTTCCTCTACAGTAACAGGGGACACCAATGCATCATTCATGGCTTCTGTAATAGTAACTGGGATAAGCTGGAGAATTTCTTCATCACCTGAAGAACCCTCAGCTGTGAACAACCTCTTGTAGTACTGACAAACACATTTTTCAATGTGCTCCATATCCTCCTAAACTTCTCCCTCAGTGTCCTGGATCTTTTGAATAGAGTTGAACTTTCTCCTTTGAATGGTAAGAGCGTGGAAGTATTTGGAATTAGAGTCTCCCTCCCTAAGCCATTGGCTTCTAGATTTTTGTTGCCAATATTCTTCCTCATTCAAGTTGATTCTGTCCAAACACACCTTGAGGTTATCCCATTCAGTCCAATTCCTGTCAGCACCTTGTTCACTCAAATCCTCCAGTCTCTTTGTAATTCTCAGCTTTTCCTTAACTTCATCAGTTCTGAAACTTTTACTCTAATTTAATAAGGCCACCCTAGCTTCTTTAATCTTTTCAGTTATCTGAAACATAGGAGTACCAGACTTCTCCATCCCCCAGGCTTTTGACACCACCTCCTTAATCCCATCCCTTCTCAGCCAACTTTTATTAAAAAAGAATCTTTTTTTCTTCACCCTCACCTCTTGGCCCACATCAGACATAATCAAGGCCCTATGATCAGAGGCACTCAAATACAAGTTATTCACCACCGCTTCTGGCTTTGAAATTAACCAATCAAAAGAGCAGAAGAACCTGTCAATTCTTTCCTCAATGAATCCTTCTTGTTCTCTATTATTGGCCCAAGTGTAAGGATATCCCGTCCATGATATTTCCTGCATCTCCATCTTTGCTATGAAATCATTAAAGCCCTGGCAATCTTGACTTGATTTATTTTTCCCCCTTTTTTTTCATGAGGCTCTCTGATAGCGTTCCAGTCTCCTCCCAAAATCCAATGTTTTCCCCACTTCCCTTTAGCATTGAGCAGCACCTCCCATTGTTCAGCTCTCACTTTCTTATCCACACTCATATAAACAAAAATCAACCACACATCCGGGCCTCCCTTTGAACCCTCCACTTCAACTTCAAAAGAGAATTTATTAGCCACAATATGTTTAATTACCATATCCTTGCTCCACAAAAGTAAAATACCTCCACTAACGCCTTGTGGATCCTCAGCAATCCACCTATCTCTGAACCCAATCTTCTTACAAACCGAATGAACAAAATCTTTTTTTTTTTGTTTCTGAAATAAAAATAAAATTTGGATGGTGGAACCTAGAGGATTCCTTGATTTGGGAAACTGTAGAGGGTCCACCCAACCCTCTACAGTTCCACACCAGCAGCTTCATTTGGAAACTTGGGCCCATTCAAGGCTGGCCACCTCCACCTTTTCTGAGTCCATTTTTTGCCTTTTTATTTTCTTTGATGAATGCATTGAAACCTCCTGGCTCCCCTCCTCCTCTTCCTCTGTCCCCAATTTTCTTTTTGAGTTTATGATTAAATTTTGATCCAGTGTCTCTCTAGCTTTCTGAGTCTATTTTTTGTTTAGCTTCCTGCCTTCCTCAGAATCTATTCCTCCAACTTCACACAAAATATCAGTGTCCATGTCAACTCCACCTGTTTCCTTCTGCCCTACCACATCTTCTTGCACCACTTTTAAATTGCTCTTAGCCTGCCCAACAATGGTCTCACTTTGCATCCCCACCTCAAGCTCTCCTCCCTCATAACTGGGCTCCAGATTCTTGTAAGCTACTTCTTGATTCATAATAGGAATCAAGGATTTCGAAATTTTGTCCCCGGTATTCTGGTCACCTACTGATTTCTCAGTGGAAACTCGTTCAGCGGTGTGTGGAACATCCTTGTAGAATGACTGTTGAAAGTGCTAGATGGCCCTGATCTCACCCCTGCATACCCTTCAGTAGCTTTCATCCAATCCCCATACTGTCCTTCTTTCAAATTCCCAGAGAAAATATCTTTACTTCTTTTATCGCACGCTCGTTCTAAATGTCCCATAAGGACACAGTAGTAACAAATATTAATCAACCTTTTATATTGAAAGGATACTCGGAATACAAAATTGTGCAGTTTAATACTCGCACACCGGGGTAGAGGTTTTGAAACATCAACCACTACAAGCAGCCTCAAGAAGATACCTCTTGTTCCTCCCGCTTTAACCCCAATGACATTATGAATTTGCTTGAAAATGTGCCCAACTTTCCTACCCACTTCAGCACAGAGACAGTTCAACGGCAGATCGTTATCTTGCACCCACATTCGCAGTTCAGTGAATCCCTTATGCTGATCTGATAGCCCCTCTTCCCATTCCCTTAGTATGAGGTACTGATTTTCAAATACCCAGTTAACTCCAGACAATACCTTCTTCTTATCCTCTATATTCCCAAAAATGAATTGAAAGAAATTGTCTTTCAACTCTTTAACTTCAAATTGACCTCTGATTTGCCAAATTAATCCCATTGTTCTCTTAATTCCCAGCAAACTAGCTTTTCGATCCCCAATGATTTTGCCGAACAGACTACGTTCACATTCCACAGCTCCAATTTTAATGTCCTCATCTTTCAGCTCAATGAGATTCTCTTCTGTCTCTGATAGATCAATCCCCTTAAACTTAATCCCCAATTCTTCTGGCGAATCTGATGCATTAGTGTCTCCCGTTACCTTCGGATCCATCAAGAAACCTGCAACAAAAACCACAAGAGAACAAGAAGGACCCGAAACAACAGATCCTTCTAAGGAAAAAGAAAAGAAAAAGAAAATAGGAAGAGAAGAAAAAGATCTACCCAACCCTAACAACCCCTCTGAAACAAGAAGAAGACTCACTCCAGGAGACGCACTAGGAAAGCTAGGAAGCAAAACAAAAGGAGAAATCAGAACGCGGAACAACCCCCCTGAGAAGGAATCCCCGAAAACCCTAACCCAAGAGAATAAATCGCCTTCCTATGAAGGAATCGTCCCCTTACCTTGTTTCATTATCAACAAACAATTAGATTAAAAAAAAAAGAAAAAGAAAGAAAGAAAAAAATATGCATTGAACACACCCCAACACATATAAAATGTAAAATAGTTCCCCATCTTTTCTTATTAAAACATCTCAACAGTTTCCATCTTGTTCCCCAGTAAAATGGTTGACCGAGCCAAGGGAGCCGACTGGTCGAGCAGAACAGAAAGGTTGTTGGTGGTCGAACGCCACTAGCGCAGAACTAGGAGTCTTCAGACCAAGAACGACACCTCTGAAGGCAACGACAGATTGAGTTAGGTCATTCGGATGGCCTGTTGGAAACTCGACATGTAGGGACGGTCAGTCGTACGATCGACCATAAATCTATTTTGGGTGTTATATATTTTTTCCATTTACACATCAATGTGAGATTATTATAGGTGGTGAATAAGAAACTTTTCTATATCCTTTTTTTTACCCATTTATATAATTCAGAAAAATCATGGAAAATCATACTTAGAGAAGCTTACGGTGATTTTTTTTCTTCATCTTTTTTGTTTTCTTGGTCTGAAATTTGTATTAAAATCAATCATAACTCATATGTACATAATAAATTTGGTTTTCTGTTCTGACCAAAGCCAATCTTCCTCTTTATCCAACTCAAAACACAAAAAATATATATTTACATCATCAACAGAAGCAAAAAAAATCATTTTTGAAAAAAAATAATATATATATATATACACACATAGAAGAAGCCAGAGGAATGAAGGGAAAGCAAAACAAAAATCGGTGATAAACAATAACAAAGGAAGGCGAAGACCGAAGACCGAAAACGTGAGGCCGGCGTAACGCTATATATAGCTATCCCTGTTTTCCTTAACTTGAACAAGAGACTCAATCTCCCTACTCCTCCCTCACCTCCTCGATCCTGCTGGCAGCCTCCTTAATATCCGGCCGCTTCTCAACGTCCGAATCGCAGCACTCGAGCCCTATCCTGACGAGCCTCTCCATCTCCGGCACGCTCCTCTCGCCGTGCGCCATGTCAGCATCGAACACCTCGTCAGCCCCACCGGCGACAGCCTCCGAGACCCAGGCGGCGAGGTCCTGGTCGCTGCTGCCCTGCTGGACGAAATTCGAAGGGAAGCGTCCCGTCATTATCTCGAGCACCAAAATGCCGAGACTCCAAACGTCAGTTTTCTTAGTGATGCGGCCAGCCTGGCGGTACTCGGGTGATTTGTAGGATATCATGTGGTCCTGTGCGTACTCCTGGTTCACCACCGGGACCAGCCCGTAGTCCGTCAGGAGAGGAGAGTAGTCAGCGTCCAGGAGGACGTTCGAGGACTTGAGGTGCCCGTGTGGGGCCGTCAGGCTCGGGAGCTCGTTGTAGAGGTACACCAGGCCACGGCACACGCCCTTCAAAATTTTCAGCCGAGTCGGCCAGTCGAGGCAGTTTCGGCTTCGAGATCTGTTACCTGCAAATATAATATAGTTATTACAAATTTATATTTTGTTCAAGGAGTAGAGTTAATATATATATATATATATATATATATATATGTGTGTGTGTGTGTGTGTGTGTGTGTGTGTGTGTGTGTTTACCGTGAAGCTGAACGGATAAGCTAACTTTCGCGGCATAATCGGTCACGAGCAGCTTCTCCTCCTTCCTGTAGTAGAACCCCACGATCTGGAGCACGTTGGGATGGGCAAGCCTTCCGAGCCGCCTCATGTGCTCATGAAACTCCTCCTTGTTCACGTTGTTCATGTACCTGAACCTCTTCACGACCATCATCTCTCCGTTGTTGAGGGCCGCCTTGTAAGTCGATCCAAACACGCCGCTGCCTAGGATCTCAGCAGAGGCTTTCAGTAGGTCCGACATGTCGAATTTATCCCTGTCCTCCCTCAGGAACGTGATCTTCACGCTCATCTCGGACTTTTTCCCGGGGCTTGACTTTTCAGGGGACGACAATCCAGGAAACGAGTGTTGTTGTTGTTGTTGTTGCTGTTGTTGTCCCTGCTCCATACTGACAAGCTCCGCCGCCTGAGGGTCGCCACCGGCACCAATTGACGGTGGCGGCAATTGCTTGCGGCGCCGGAGGATGACGACAACCACGATGAGGGCGGCGAGAGCGGCCGTGACAACGAGGGCGACTCCGATTTTAGTGCCGATGGTTAGCTGGGATGGGGCATCGCACGATTTCAATGGACCCCCACATAAGTCTTTGTTTCCTATTTTGAGATAATGAAAAGTTTTCTCGATCAACACTTACTATATATGCACATGTACGCATGTTAAAACAACACTCACCATCAAATGCAGCGACACTGAATTTACTGAGGCTAGCCGGGATTGGGCCAACCAACTCATTGTTGGCCGCGCTAAAGATCATGATCGTATCCTGTGGGAATGCGGGGATCTCTCCCACAAAATTGTTGTTGTCGAGCACCAGCTCCCTCAGCCTCGGCAACGCAACCAACGAGACCGGAATAGGGCCCGACAACTTGTTGTTTGCCAGATAGACCTTCTTCAACAACTGCATCCCTTGGAAATAGTTGGGATGAATCTCCTCGTCAAATCGATTGTTGGAGAGGTAGATGCTCCTGAGGGCCGAGATGCTCGTGATGTTCGGGAGGGGGCCGTCGAAGCTGTTGCCCATGAAGCTCAGGGCCCGTAGGTCAGGCAGTTGGGCCAGAGAAGTCATGTCGATGGTCCCGTCCAGGCCCATGTTCTCGAGCTGGAGGCCCCAGACTCGGTTGTTCTGGCAGAGGACGCCGACCCAATTCTCGTGGTCGTCACTGCACGGTGGTTTTCCGGCTGGACTCCAGCTGGACAGCGCACCCGTGTTGTGAAGGGACTCCTTGAACTTGAGGAGGATTTCGGCCTCCGACTCAGCCTGGGAGCTGGGCGGGAGGAGGAGGAGGAGAGCAGTGAGTAGGAGGATTGCCGGTATTTGGTCCATTATGTGGGGGCGGGTGGCGCGTGCTCAAGGGGCGCACGGGCCCGCTTTGGTCGGTGGAGAGAACAAGAGAGAGAGAGAGAGAGAGAATTGGTGGGGAAAGAGAGAAGGGGGGAATGTGAGATGTATATGTTTGTGTGTTGATCTATTTCATTGGGGGTGGTGTCTGGTGTGTGTGGAGATGTTTTTGCATGAGAGGTTTGCGGGGTGCCTTTGGATTTGAGTTTGATATTGTTGGACTCATTGTCCACCTGATTATTTATGTCCATATTTAATCTCTCATCTGTTGGGAATACAAACCTTAAAAGTCAAAACCACTCCCTTGCCTGAGTCAACTTTGACTAGTCAAAATAACTAATTCATTTTGATACTTGGAAAAAAAATTTATGGTACATCATCAGTTATATAGCTTTGTACTTGAGACTAGTCAATTCACCTTACAGTTGGCAAATACTTAATTAGCAAATAACTTAAGGTGTATATTATTTATTCTTTGACATAGACGTACAATTTCTAAAATTGTTAAGGTATTTGGCATATAAATCATAGGTTAAGAGAATGAAGAATGAAGAGATTGAAGATGAAGAGATGGACCATGTATAATGTTGGTTGCTGGGTTTCACTATCTTTAGACTTTAATTGAACTCTCAAAAATAAATCGGTAATAACAATTATTATGTATTATTCGGGAAATCTATATTATTTTATCAATAGTAACTATTTCCCTCCATAAAATAGCTATCATTTTAGAGTTCCTGTTTAGAATTAAGGGTTATGACAATCTAGCATATTTATATTCAAACATTATCGATAAATAATACATAGACTTCTCTCTCTATATTTTCTTATTCATATGTTACAACATTATTTAAATTCCATAATAGGTGATGCTAACATTAAAAAATTGTGACAAATATTGTAATTAACAATTAATTGAAAAATACTATATTATATGTTATCTTAAATTTTACAAAATTAATAATTTTATTTACATAAATATTATTTCATTTTTTTTATAATTTATAATGATGTATATTACACATATTTTAATTTTTCTTTCTAATTTGATAATTTTAGAATTTATAATGATATAATATCGTAAAAATTTCCAAAGCGTACAAAATAACTAGTAAAATGATAATTGTAAGTAATAATTCGAATATTTTTTTCTTTTGAAAAAAAAATATTATTTAAGAGTTTGTAGTGTGTGTTCATATATGATGTGTAGTATATATAGAGCGGTAAATACAAAATAGCCGTTGAAAACAATCGTTAATTAGTCGTTATAATTTTTTATATTTTTTCATTTATATTTTATTTTTTTGATACATTATTATTATTATTATTATTATTATTATTATTATTATTATTATTATTATTATTATTATTATTATTATAGCCCGCATAGCCCGTTTAGACCGAAGCCCGCTAGGGTTAGGGTTAGGTCTTTTTATTGGTAGCCCGTTTAAATCCGGGCCTAAACCGTTTAGCCCGAAACCTGCTAGGGCTAGCCCGAAACAGCTAGGGCTAGCCCGTTTAACATCTCTAATCATCGAGTTTTTTTTGACAAATAGTTTATGTTACTAAATCATAGAGTACTAGTGATAAAAATTTTATGTTACTAAAAACCTATAGTTAGTGATAGTTACAAAAAATTGGTCACTAAAACTTTTAATGACACTACATATGGTGACAACTATTGACGAACGTTCATTTTGTCACTACCTAATAATAGGGCTTGGGATTTTCTAAACGAAAACCGCAAAACCGAATCAAACCGTACCGGAACCGACCGGTTCGGTCCGATTAATGATTTTGTTTTTTTACAATTTAACGGATCGGTTATTTATGCCATTTTCCGGTTCCAAATTTTGGTTTTTTGTAATTGATTCTCACATTAGCCGAATAACCGGGCAATAATAACATATTTAATAAATAAAAAAACATATATAAACTCTTGAGGGAGAACTTTGCCGCCCTTGTGGTCCTACCTGGCTCGATTCCGGATTAGTCAGTTCCCCTGTGGATCCGGAAACCGGAAGGTCCATGTACCAAAAAAAAAAATATATAAACAAAACCACCTCGGTAATCGTATCCACACTATCTTAAAAGCTTAAAAATGATTTTAGAGTTTGTCTCCTCCATTCCTCTCAAAAACTTCTCACTTCCTAGCACAAATCGCCTATCTTAAATCTTAATATCCTTATCACTTGTCAACCCCTAAATTGCCAAATTTCAATGTCAATGCCCATTTTAATTTGAATATAGTCGGCGCTTATCACTTCCTTTGGAGTGCAAAACCCTAACAGCCCCGCCCGTCATTTTCACTGAATTTATTCGTGGCCTCAAAGCTCGAGATGTGTAGCGATTCATTTAGTTCGAAAAAGTATTCAAAGAAGGATTCGTTTGCTAAAATTATTTAAACTAGTATCGTGGCCTGTGCAAATGCACGGAACTATTAAAAATAAATGAAATAAGGAAACATAAGTAGAATAAATAATTTTTATATGCAATTAAAATAGATTAACAATGTTTATATTGTTATAAAATACGGGGAATATAAAGAACACAATGTAAAACCGGATATAAATCAAAAGATGTTATTTCTCTTTCTCTTTTCGTCACTTCATCCGTACCAAATTGCACTACATTGGTTGACATTTTATAGCCAAAATTGAAACACATTTCAACACACTAATATAATAAAATAATGAAAGTGATAAACCTATTATAAGTGGTTAATTCCACATATATTTACAATACTCCCCCTTGGAATTACCACTATTAAATGTGCGTTTATGCTGCCTCGTTAAAAACCTTATCTGGAAAAACCCTGTGGGAAAAAAACTGAGATAAGGAAAAAAAGAGTACAGCCGCACATACTCCCCCTCGAATTATCATCTGTGCAAATTCCGAAGATGCCTCATCCCAATATTGTGCACGTGCTTTCGAAATATTATCGTCGGAAGCGCCTTAGTAAACAAATCTGCTGCATTATCGCTTGATCGAATGTATTGAACTTTGATTTGTTTGTTTCTTTCAAGCTCTTGCGCATATAAGAATAACTTTGGCGGGATATGTTTAGTTCTGTCACTCTTAATGTATCCTTCTTTTGTTTGAGCGACACATGCTGCATTGTCTTCGTATATCACCGTCGGGTCATTATTGTTCGATAGTCCACTGGCTTGTTGAATATGTTGAGTCATGTTTCTGAGCCAGATACTTTCCCTACTTGCTTCATGAAGTGCAATGATCTCAGCATGGTTTGAAGACGTCGCAACTAACGTTTGTTTCTGAGAGCGCCAAGAGAATGCAGTTCCGCCAATCGTAAAAACGTATCCAGTTTGAGATCTTGCTTTATGGGGATCTGAGAGATATCATGCATCTGCAAAGCCGATTATTTCATGTTTTTTATCGTTAGAGTAAAACAGTCCCAAATCGATTGTCCCTTGGAGATAACGGAATATATGCTTGATTCCATTCCAATATCTCCTCGTAGGTGCCGAGTTATATCTTGCTAATAAATTGGTAGCGAAAGATATATCTGGTCTGGTACAATTAGCAAGATACATAAGAGCTCATATTGTACTCATATATGGTATTTCAGGACCAAGTATTTCTTCATCTTCATCACAAGGTCGAAATGGATCCTTTTCAATATCTAATGTTCGATTGACCATTGGGGTACTAAGTGGATTCGCCTTGTCCATATTGAATCGTTTCAGTAGTCTTTTAGTGTAATTAGATTGATGGACAAATATCCCATTTTGGACTCGTTCTATTTGCAAGCCGAGACAATATTTGGTCTGTCCGAGATCTTTCATTTCAAATTTGCCTTTTAGTAAAGTGAATGCTTCTTGAATTTCATTTGTAGTCCCAATAATATTAAGATCATCGACATATACAGCAATTATCACAACTCCGTCTTGTGATCTTTTTATAAAAACACACGGGCATATTTGATTATTTATGTATCCTCGTTTCAGTAATTGTTCACTCAAACAATTGTACCACATACGCCCGGATTGTTTCAAGCCATACAATGATCTTTGCAGTTTTATTGCACATAACTCTTTAGGTTTGGACTTTAGTGCTTCGGGCATTCTAATTCCTTCTGGAATTTTCATATAAATGTCAGCGTCTAGTGATCTATATAAGTAAGCAGTCACAACATCCATAAGACGCATCTCAAGATTTTCATGGATGGCCAAACTAATCAAGTATCTGAAAGTAATCGCATCCATAACAGGGGAATATGTTTCATCATAATCGATCCCAGGCCTCTGGGAAAATCCCTGTGCTACAAGGCGAGCTTTATATCTTGTGATCTCATTTTTCTCATTTTTTTTTCTGACAAAAACCCATCTGTACCCAATAGGTTTTATGTCTTTGGATATAATGGTTATAGGTCCAAAAACCTTTCGTTTATTAAGCGAATTTAACTCGGCTTGAATACCGCTTTTCCACTTTTCCCAATCATGTCTTTTCTGACATTCAATTATAGATTTTGGTTCAGGATCCTCAACTTCTTTGTCAATTTCTTGTGATACCATATATGCGAAAGCATCATCAATGATCTCATCACGCTTCCAAAGTTTCCCATTATTTACATAATTGATGGAGATTTCAATATTTTCATTTCGTTCTGAAATTTTTCCATCATCTTGATTCTTTTTCAAATTCGAATCTTGAATTTCTCTTTTCTTTCGAGGATTCTTATCTTTAGACCCCACTGGCCTTCCTCGTTTCAAGCGTGCCTTTAACTCATTTGGCACATCATCATTTGCCATTTTTTTTGGAATCTCAATTCGAGCAAGGGCATTTATAGCTGCAACATGTGATTTTGTCACCCTTTTTGTGTCAGTAAATGCATCTGGCAATTGATTTGCAATATTCTGCAGATGTATGATCTTTTGAACTTCTTGCTCTCTTTGTTTGGTGGGAGGATCAAGATATGATAGTGATGATGTTCTCCATTCAATATTTTTCTCAATTGACTTTTC